TGAAGAATCTGCCGCGCACCGGTTTTACCAAGGAGACCTTGGAGAACCTCTTTCGACCCTACGGTCAAGTGACATCTGTAAAGCTCTTGGAAACAGATGGAAATTACACTGGTAAGTGCTGATTTTAACGGTAGACAATTCTATTGGTAGATTGTATCGCTGAGACCATTTATTGTCAGAAGGCGGTAAGCCGATGGAAGGGTTGTTCCCTGCTCCTTGACTTGGCTGGCCTAATCCACAACTTATGATTAATTTAAGGTCTGCCGTTGAAGACGTGTCTGTACTGGAGAACAGTTGTCGTCATCCCTTTCCGTCTCGGCTTTGGAGACATTCACGACTGCTTAAGACTACCCCACAGCCTATCCCTTGATTCGTTGGCAAGCTTTCAAGAGCGAAGCTATACGTTAAAGCGAATAAGTTTGATGTAGCGTGGTTTTAGTGTGTTGCCTATCTAGCCTTACGCCTGTTTAACTGCAAGACATCAGATTGATGTCTTCAGGTCCCTGACGTTGTCATACCATTTGGTTAGTTAGTGACAGTGAATACAGTTAGCGACAGCGTGTGGTTTCCATGGAGTTCCGGCCCAAGATATTTCTATTTTCTCTCCGTCCATCTCAGGTTCCACAAAAGGGATGGCTTTAGATAGTTAGGTTTGAGACTCTTCGACTGCCTAAATTCGCACCATACTTGTCACTTTCCTGTCTTAGGCACTGCAATTTGTCTTCGGATCGGCAGTGGTCCCGAGCCCTCACGATGCAGGATTTGGTCAGTTAACCTGCAGAAGCGCACCACCCGAAGTCCGTCACCTAGGTCGGTACTCCAGTGCATACAGCAAACATTTGACGGGGTTCTTTATTTCACGTCGCGCCCCCCTAGTCGATTTCACACGAGCTTACCGACAAAGAGGTTGAGGTTGTCCAATTTCGACTTCAATGCGTAGTTTTCTCGCTACGAACTGTAAAATGCCTTTTTAGGATTACACAGTCCTTCTCAGGTCTAAGGGTCAGGTCGCAATAGTTCCTTATTACTTATGCAACATCCGAGATCGCACCATCAACAACCGGCAAAATGATTTATGTTGAAGCTAGGGACCAACAACACGTTCGGTGTCCGTAGACGTGACTTTGACATCCTCAAACAATGTTCCCACCGTCGTGTGTCGTCTGCACCTCGTCTTTATCTAGATCAGCGAATAGACTAGATGAGGTAGATGACGCATAAGTCTGCTTTATAACAAAATCATAATGTCTTGGACCATGAGATCCCTCGTCACCCGACACATTAGCTTAATATCGCATGCATACCTTTTCCTCCACCCTAGGCATAGGATTTGTCAGGTTTGCTTCCGCAGAGCAAGCCCAGCGTGCTGTGGAGAGTATGAATGAGGCGCGCTGTGTGCTGGCGGATAGCCCCGGTGGCGGCA